GGTAAGTAGGAAAAAAAAAAACATAGCGCAAGCTTCGGCGCTATGTATCGGGGCATTTTGACAAGTACAAGTACTTGTCAAAATGCCCTGTATCGGGCCCGGTTCCGATGCTAGCATCGGTATCGGGACATCCCTATTACAGACCTAAGCTGGACACACAACTTGCAATCTTTTTGTACGTTCTCTGTATGGTCTCCTTTACATTTACCAAGAGCTAAGCAGTATGACTACCTACCTACCTAAACAATCAGGTAAGTCCTAACACTGCCAAACTGTTGATAAATCTAATGGAGAGCTTTAGGACCATGCTTAAAGAGGACCTGAACTGTAGAAGCTCTGCCCAAAAAATGCAAGCCCAGGGCAAAGGACTCATCACCAGTACTGTCTGTGTACTCCCTGCAGCTGGTCTTTCTCCAATACTGACTTATCATGCCTTGCTCTGCACCGAGTCTCTGCGGGTACCCAGCCATCTTTAGTAGAGCCTGGGCTTTGCTTCCTTATATCAGAGCTGTCCCCTGATGCCTGGAGATCTATTAGGGGAATGATTGTAAAGCAGAAGGAGAGCTGAAGAAAGCACATATCCATAGACTGAAGCAGGGAGATCCATGCACTACAGGTCCTCCGGTACAGCTTATTCTCTAGCAAGGAGAATATTGAGCAGCACAGTAGGGAAATAACCAAATGTTACACCAAATCTCATGAGACTAGCGGTCAAGAGGCAGCAGTGCCTTATATCTCACACTGCAGGTATACAGCTATAAGGATCAAGGCACAGGAAGTAAACTACTATTCTTTTCAGGAGAACTTTAGAGCAAAAAGGTAAAACTTCCAGGGTACTGCTTAAGTGTAATGAGGTGGATACCACCTACTAGATTACTGGCTGTTCTTTACAATTTTATACTTTTATTCATGCCAGGAAGTGTAGATTTTGCTATACGTCCTGCGTTCCAACTAGTGAGCTGTGGCTCTTTTATACACAATCCGCACTGTCTGCACCTCCTCTCCTCTTCTCCATTGTATTCTGTGAAGAGGAGATGAGGGGCAGACAAACAACTGGTGTGTAGGAGAGCCACCTGCCACCCGTCAAAGCACCAGAAGTATAGCAGAGACCCAGTTCCTGTGCTTATTTTCTTTCCTCCAAAAGATATAAAGACAATATATAAACTTGGATTGTTTTTTTTATGTTGGGATGTATTGCTTGGCCAAAAAGCTTACAATCCACACCAAATTGTAAGCTACTCCTGTAACTCTACAGACTGACTCAGAGCAGAAAGCTTTTGGTGCATGTTCTGGATGATGCTAGCAGTCATCTGAGCAAAAAATGGGAAGTTAAATTAGTATTGTGTGACCTGGACCTGGGCAAATGGTGCCACATCCCTATAGGGTAAGTATCAAAAAAAAAAAAAAAGCTGGGGTTTTGTAGGCATCAATTGACAACTTCCAAGACGTAGACCATAAAAAAATATATTTATTTGTATTCAATTATTAAAAACAGAATAGTTTAATAAAAGCAACTTGATTCGATAACTCCCTAAGAGCTTACTCCATTACTGTTCAATCCCTTGAATCTACATAACATGATTGATTTGAATCACAGTGCATAATGTGAACAACATGATTGAATACCAAAGGTAGCGTAATAGAATGACATAGATGACAAAACATGATTAGAGATTAATTATACACATGATCAAGAATTTAACAATGAAGGATAGCTAACAGTGGAGGAGCGCAATTGTCTCGACGTTTCGCGCTTGACGGCGCTTTTTCAAGAGGAGGAAGTTATCTATATGATTCAAAAAGGGAATAAATATATATGATCATAATTTAGAACAAAGAATCTGAAGTCAGTGCATAATACATGTTTAGGGTGAACCTAAGTCACCTACCACTGAAGTCGATGTGTGTGTGTCCCTGCAGCCCCATCCAGGCGCGGCACCTGAGCCATACCCTCCAGAGCAAACAAGGGGGAGAGAGGTCGAGACCATGAGCCCCACTTTAGGCAGCAAAGAGTGAGAGGTATATTGTACCGGAATAACCTTGAGAGACATAAATAAGGGGCTAAAAGTTCCTTGAGGAAAAAATGGAGACAACCAAACCCGACAACGGGAATCATAACACGTGAATGGAAATGTACTTGTTTTTTTGGGAGACAAAACACAGGGTAAAGTATCAAGGTTGCGAAGGTCACAACCCAATAAACAAAACATTTGGTGAATTTTTAACTTCCATTGCACAGAAATGTACGGTGAGTGCAGTCTGGGTAGATAAGCTTGCTAGGAGAAAAACAAGGAATGTTGATTATATGTCTGGCATCTCACTGTGTTTCTGCATCAGATAGGTAGCCCACTGACCAACTAAAGGAGCTTGCTTGGCAGGTTGACTACGTTTCTGCTAATTGCAAGGCAGAGAGTTAGCGTGGTCAGCCTTCCATGGGAGCTCCCTCAGTTGGCCATTGGGCTGCCTATCTAAGAGACCTGATAATTAAACTAATAGCTAACTAAAGGCAATCTGACTGCTAATCTCCAGTCAGTGGCTTGGTGTTGTCAGCCTGCTGTATGAGCTCCTTTAGTTGGCCATTGGGCTACCTATCTAACAGACTGGATATTCAACCCAGCCCAGCTGAGAGAATGTACATGGCAGGCTGACAACATTGCTGCTAATTGTGAGGCAGTGACTTAGCATTGTCACAGGAAGTTCAGTCACTCAAAGGATTACCAGGTACAGAGTTTGGCAACAGATTTACAAAAAAAATAGAAAACGGTATACAGTGAGGCATAATACCAAATAAAAATAGATTTTGGGTCTACATACACGTTTAACAAAGGGTTTCTCAACCGGGTCCGCGAGTGGTCTCCTCGGATTCTGCCGCCATTGCAGCTGATTTATATACACTCAACAGTGACTTTACATTTCCCCCTGCCGCTACCACCACTTGATATCAGGGGGACAAGGACACTTGGCGTGACCTCACCAGACAGCGTGAGGTATAAGCATAGGTTTAACACGTTTATATGTTCTCAAACAACACAACCATATAGGAACCCGCTCTAGGGACACTTTGTTAGATAACCAGTTCAGCTACCAGTATGAAGGTAAACAAAACAGTCAAGTGGTGTCCCTGATGGGAACTGAGCCCACAATCCTAGTGCTATAAGGTAAGTGCTGACCACCTTGTCACTGTTCTGTACTTTATGTGGCTCTAACCTTCCCATCCCTGCTGTCAGGTGTTTGCAGGTGGCTCTCTGCGGGGTACTTATTGTGGAAAGAAGTCTCCTGGAACGCTGAAGGCTCAGAGTAACACCGTGGACATTCTGTTCCACACTGATGACTCCGGTGACAGCAAAGGGTGGAAAGTACGCTACACCATAGAAGGTAAAACCGGGCTTCTGTTCTTCTGTTTCATATTTATGAATAATTTGCTTGGTTTTTAAGGTCACAAAGTACACTAACTAATAGTAGGCACCTACCAGGGCCATGTCCTGCCTACAAAGGCTTCAAGAACTTGGCAAATGCTTTGTAAGAACTTTATATATACACTGTTCATGTTCACTTATTATGTACTGTATATGGGATATATCTATCCCACCTCAACCTAACCACTGAACCATCACATTCTAAAACAATTCATCCCCACACAGCTACCTCCTCATGTATCACTTCCCCCTCCCCTTTTAGATTGCAAGCCCACAGGGGCCAGGCCCTCCTTACCATCTTGTCTTGTATTGTGATTTTAATGTCTTCCTTATATTGTAAAGCACTGCACAAACTGTTGGCACTATATAAATCCTGTATAATAATAATAATAATAATATGGTCAAGGAGGGATGAGCCCCGAAACTTTTGAGATTTTGCTATTTCGGTGAAAGGCATTGGAGTCTATAATGGAAGGCAATGGGCTTTAAATGATCCCTGAGGGTTACAGAATGTTCTTACAACTATCCTAGATCAGTTCTTGTGCCAAAAATCACTCCTCTTTAGCAAAAAGAAAGAAAAAAAACAGGTGGCACAAATAACATATACACAAAAAAAGAAGAAAATAAATACAAGTAAAAAAAAAGATAATACATATTAAAATAAATACACCCCCTGAAAACCACAGGCGCTAGAACCTTGGTGCCCAACATGCAGCCGCAATTAAGTCTGGAGAACATGCGCTGCATCCTGGACCTGGCGGCTCCAATGGGCTTTAGCTCTGACGGCGCATTCACACCACATCCAGATCATGTCCAGACTAGGCCAGATTGTTTCCGGACCCAAAATGCATCCTAATGTATTCCTATGCTACTTCTGGCCTCTGTTCACACCAGCGCAGTCCGTTCCAGTCCTGACCAGATCAGAAAAATGCTGCAGGTCTCATTTTGTCTGGAATGCACTGGAACTGCGGGCAGGTTCACACCATTTTTTGGACCAGATCTGGTCAGGAAAATGGTGTGAACCTGCCCTGAAACTGCTAACTGTCAGTAACAGCCATGGTCCAGCACTAAGCCTGGTAGCTAAATTGCTCAGCTCCTGGCCTTCTGCTCCTGCAGAAGGCCAGGAGCTGTTAGCAAGCAATGTAATCATAATGTAGAACAATGCTTCTGCGCTGTGTGTTTACATTGCAAGTGAATTTATGTTGCGGCACTTCCTGATCAAATGGAGGATGAGGAAGAGCTGTTGAAACTCTGTCTAGCCACAACCTGCAGCATTAGAGGACTGCTATAGTCATCTATTCCTGGCTGATTGTAGTGAATTGGGGTGTCATTGAAAATGAATGGCACCACAACTCACACACAGCGGTGCACGGGTTGCCATCGGGACATGTTAGGGGCCGCACTTGAGTTTTTTTATAGTCACTAAGTTGACCACCACTGATCTAAAAAAATGAATGAAAATAAGGAAAACCACCAAATACAAAGAGCACTTAAGTAAATAATCTTCGAGGATACACCAAAAAACACCCTCTAACCAAAATATTATAAGTAATAGATTTGAAAGGCAGGTGTTAATCGTCCAAGAACAAGATGGTAGGTGTGAAAGGTATGGAACCAAGTTGTTTTAATTACATAATCCCGTCCTTGGTGTCAGAAAGTCTGCATAGGTATCCTAATCCTTCTATTCACATGGCTGAAGGTGTGAATTGTTGTCAGCCAGGGGACATACAGTATGTTTTCATCACTACTGTATATGGAACCAGTGGCTTATACCAATGAATTATATGTCTTGCGTCCTATCTCACTATATATCTGTATTAGATAGGCAGCCCAATGGCCAACTAAAGGAGCTTGCATGGCAGGTTGACAATGTTGCTACTGATTGCAAGGCAGAGGGTTAACTTTGTCAGCTAGCCATGGGAGCTCCTTCAGTTGGGCTGCTTATATAAGATACTTAATAATCGAACCAATAGCCAATAGTACCAATCAAACCAACCAGCTCTTCAGCGAAGCCTATCCCACCTCAATCTAACCACTGAACCGTCACATTCTCAAATAATTCATCCCCTCACAGCTTCCTCCTCACCTATCATTTCCCCCTCCTCTTTTAGATTGCAAGCCCTCAGGGGCAGGGCCCTCCTTACCATCTTGTCTTGAATTGTATTGATGATTGTAACGTCTTCCTTATATTGTAAAGCGCTGTGCAAACTGTTGGCGCTATATAAATACTATGTAATAATAATAATAGTGGCTTGCAGAAGCTACACAATGTCTTTCACTGAACAAGTCCAGTTGAATGTGACTAACTACTTCAAGCTGTACCATGACCTTGATAAATGAGATCCTTTACAGACATGTTAGTGTCCTTCTGTCCTTCTTTAAGTGTTTGGCATTAAGTAGCCCTTAAGACCCATTACCAGGAAAAGGATAGTATTCGGTTCTGGATTCCTAAAGTCTTTCTTATTGTCCTCCAGCTGTGAAATGCCCAATGCCTGTGGCCCGGGATACATTCTCCATGATCAGTCCTGTGCAGAAGGAGTTTCAGATGAGAGATTATATTGTGGTGACCTGCAAAACAGGATATCAGCTGATGGAGGTCAGTATACCTATTTGAAGATCTGTATGGCAGGGATTGTTGGGATATAACTGCACACATTGGAAAACAGTGCTGCACTCCAACATGTCAACTGCAGAAGCATTTTAAAGGTCTGTTCCACCTAAAAGTGTTACATCCTTTTGACTTCTGGTATCTTTTGTAAACTAGGCTACATTTTTTGTAAATTTGGCAAACCGTGCCTACTAGAATTCCTATTTTGGCCCAAATCTTACAGCTGTTATGATGGTATGACTTTCCCATGAAGGCTTCTTGGTGACCTAGCTGCAGCAAATGTTACATTGATTAGCAACCACTCAGGCGGGATAGCTTCAAGAAGTAGATTTATTCAGTTGGCCAGCCGGGAACATGCAGCAAACTAAGTGTTGTACATGAACTCTAGTTAACCGTGACACAAAGTTAAATGTCCTACATGAACTCTAGTTAACCTTGACACAAAAGCTAAATGTTCCATATGTTGTTTATTCATACAACTCATATATATGTATTATATGTATATATAATGTTTCCTCTATATATTTGTGTACTATATATATCAGGGGTAGCCAAACTCCGGCCCTCCAGCTGTGGTGACACTACAAATCCCATGATGCATCTCTCTCCGGGAGTCATGTCTTTGGTTGTGAGAATCTTGCAATGCCTCATGGGATTTGTAGTTCTACCACAGCTGGAGGGCCAGAGTTTGGCTACCCCTTATATAAATCCAGACATTTGAATAAAGCACATTTATAATATGTTCATTAATTTAAATTTTAAGTTTGACAGTGTGATGCAGCAGGGATCATCAGTTTTCCCTATACAACTTGGCTATACTTGGTCAATGACATTCACCTACAAGACCATGTGGCCAATGATGTCAGCACAAGCATGCCACCTCTTTCTTTATGTGCAGCTGCGGGCTGTGAAATGCCCCAGAACACAGCTGATTGGGCAGGTGGCCCCATGTGCCTTCCGGGTTCAAAGGAGCTCAGGTTCAGAACGGGTTTGGTTCAAATCTGAGTTCATCCCTAATTATGCCAATAATACCGGAACTTGTTATTAGTGAATAACAAAGAAAATAAACAGTCTTTAATATAATGTGAGTGTGCTTTGGCCGTGGAGCTTTGCCTTCAACCGAGAAAAAAAGAAAGTCTCAGAATGACCAGCGGCTGTTGTTTTTTACACACACTTGCTGTCTCTTTCTTTTGCAGAACAACCAGGAACTGAGCACCTTCACCTCCCTTTGTCAGAAAGATGGGACCTGGCACCGTCCTATGCCCCGATGTCAAAGTAAGACTACTGACAGTTTATGCCGTCAGTGTTAGATTTTGGCCCCGTTCACCCCCTTCAGTTTTCAAACCTCTGATGTACTTTGACATGCATTTTTGTTGATGCCCATTCAAATTTGTTTCCTGCAAAACTCAAGAAGGAGCATGAATTTTTCCAGCACCCAGCTCCAGAACATGGCCCAGAGTAGCTGGACCAAGGGATTAGGTACAAAGCGGAACTCCAGGAATTATCTTTTTTATGGATACCCTCCTTGGTTCAGCTTGGTTCAGTCTAAGTATCCATATCTGATCTCCAGAGGTCCACTGGAGATGCTGAAAATCACTGTAGTACTCTGTGCTACATACAGTGACAGCCGTGATCTTCTTACTGGCTCCATTGGCCTCCTCTCACAGGGAGTCACTCACTGGACAACACCACCATTCAGAGAACGCCTTGCATTTATTTAATGGAACCCAAGGTGTTCTCTGATTGCATGAGGTGGAGAGAGTGTGCCTGTGTGGATGCGTGTTTTTGTGCATAGCATATAGGGCACTCTTTTAATTTCAAAAGGGCCGCCCTATACATGACAATCTCACCAAGGAAGTTCCTGCACCTTTTCTTTAAACTCATTGCACCAAATTGTACGGCGATTTGTTACCACACGTTTTGGTGTGGTTACCCAAGTTCTATGGGTGTAGCCGCACTACTGACCGGGAAGCCCCATGTGACTATTGGGTGCTGGAATGACTGCTGATGGTGCCGCTGTAACACAAGTCATAGAGTATGAAACCAGCACTCTGAAGAACTTAATCCAAATTGCCCTTATTGACGTCTAAACATTATGTTCACACAAACAGCAACTTTTCAGGACCACACAGGGCCCCTTCAACAGGCAAAATATGAAGCCTGATGTCACCAGCACACCCCTCAGTGTGCATGTGAAAACGGAGGTGCAGCAAGGTGTGTTGGGGTGCAATAAACAGTCAATGGTAATGCAATGTATCTTGCAAAGTGGCACGCGTTTTGGCATGCTGCAGCAACGCGTAGATGTACATGGGAGCATTTCATCACAGCCAGTCATTGTCAGTATTACATCTCTCTGTTCTTTCCAGTTGTAAGCTGTAAGAGCCCGGACGAACTGCGCAATGGTCGGTACAGCTTCCTGACCGAGCCGAACAAGCTAACATACCTTTCCGTCGTCACCTACAACTGCAATGAGCCGTACTACAAGATGGTGACCCAGAGAGACAGCGGTACGCATGTTATGGTCAACTGTATTCTAATAGGGTTGGGTAGACATGACATTGGGTCTAGGCTAGTAGTGTGGCTAGTAGTCTGGGTATCCAGGCTCTTATGTACATCCTATGGACATCTTCAATAAGTAAGTTTACAAACGTGTCCCATTAAGGAAGCCAGGCAGTGTGTAATGTAAGCAGATAAATCTGCGCTTCTGGAGAGAGGTGGTAGTTAGAATAAATGAATTAATAAAATATGTGTGAATAAATATAATAAAATAAAACCCGAAGCTGCTCTGAAAAGGGATAAATCCTAGTATGATCGAAAAAAACAAAGCGCTAAGGGTAAATGTATGTGCAAAAGGTGAACAATATGTTTTCTGGCGAAGCCAGTCTAAAACCTAATAAAGTGTGTGAAACAGAACTCACTGCAAATAAACAAAAACACTCTAACCATAATGCACTAAACACTTATAACAAAAAAATCCATTCCAATGAATTAAATAGACGAAAAGATATTTAAAAACATCAAAAAAGTGTCCAATAAGAAAAAAATCCAGGTGAGTGGTGGATTCCGTGTGCAAATATACAAATGTGCAAAAATAGCAGTGTACTTGAAGTTGATCCGAACTGCCCCTCTCGGGTGGGTACTTACCAAAAGGAAGTTGGTAAGAAGCTCTTAGTAAGTGATACCGTGATTAGGCTTTAGCACAGACGTGTTCTCTGCGAGTCCCGGCAGCTGAAACAATTGATTTTCTCCTCTATGCCGTTGGCTATAACTCAAGGATGAGGAGTCCGATCTTTTCTGATAAGAAATGCTGATCTACCCCTGGAGTACCCTGCAAATTTCCTTTGCAAATTTCAACTTAGTGAAAGTCAAGGCTTGTACAGGGTTAAAGTGGACCTTTACCCATATCAATTGCCTTGCCCGTTGCTGACCTGGATTAACCTGGCCATTCTGCTGTTTCTCTTGCCTGTTGATGACCTCTGCCTGTAATTGCTGTTCAGGTGAGAGAGATCCAGATATGCTGTGTTCCTGAGTCCACACTGCCAGGGATCCAAGGCTGATAAGGTGTTTAGGATAGGTTCCAAGTAGTGTATCTCCTAGATAGCTTGCTCGACGTACTACTTTGCTAGAGTTCTAGCAAAGTAGTACGTCGAGCAAGCTATCTAGGAGATGGTTAGAGTGTTTTTGTTTATTTGCAGTGAGTTCTGTTTCACACACTTTATTAGGTTTTAGACTGGCTTCGCCAGAAAACATATTGTTCACCTTTTGCACATACATTTACCCTTAGCGCTTTGTTTTTTTCGATCAGGCAGTGTGTAATGACTCGCCGTCTGGCTTCCTGATTAGTCGGGAAGCTGGCACCATGCTTCCTCGTCAACAGGTGATGATAAAGCATGGAGACGGCTTTGTGGCCATTCAGGAAGCCGGGAGGCAGGTAATGACTCGCCGCACTGCTTTCTGATTGGCCAGCTTTCGGACCAATCAGGAACTGGGCGGTGAGTCATTACATGGTGCCCAGCTTCCTGATTGGCCAGAAAGCCGGCTCCATGCTCCCTCGTCAACTCGTCATCAGGAGGTCGGGGGTTGAGTCATTACCCGCCGCTCAGCTGCCTGATTGGCCAGAAAGCCATCTTCATGCTTCTTGGTGACAAGGGAGCATGGAGACGGCTTCCCGGCCAATCAGGAAGCCGGGCAGCATGTAATGACTTGCCACCCGGCTTCGTGATACTGGAAGTTCTGCTGTCAGGATAGGCATCGGGAGATACTAGTATGGGTATTGGTGCATCCCTACTTATCAGTATGTGTTACTATTTAACCCTTTCTCTGCCAAGGACGTACGTCGTACGGAGCTACAAAAGTGCTTCCAGCTGGCCAGCTCAGTACGTCGTACGGACCTGGCATTTACAGTTCTACTATAAGCTGATGGTCGCTTTAGCGACCATCAGCTTATAGTAGAACTGTTCAGCAGACTGTCCCCTTTAAATTAATAGCTGTCATCAGTGCAAAAAGGCGCAATTACAAATTTGCTAATATTTGTTATTTATTAACTCAATACAGTTTTATCTTTTAGATTTAGTCAGAAAATAATTTATTTTGTGCACGGATACTGATTTTGGTGTGTTTTAACAATTGAATTGTGTATTTTTATCGGTTTAATATTAATTTGAGAAACATTTGCGCAATTATCGCAGGGCCTACAAATTTAGTATCACCATCTTTTTATTCTACCGGGCCTGCGCTTTCAGAAAATATATGGTTTGGGGGGTCTTTTACAAACGCTAGCAACGCAGCAGTTGAAAATCAAACCAATAGGAAAAAAGTGCAGAAAATTCAAAAATGGCTTGGCCAGCTGATTTGAAAAATGTTCCGGAGGGCTTGGCAGCGAAAGGGTTAAACACATGTGCTTCCACTGGATATATGGCTTGACATTATATGTGAACATAGGGCAGCCATGTTTGTTCTTACGTACAGTATTTGCTGCCTTTGCAGTGCTGCACAATGGTTGTGCTTTGCTGCTCTTTTGTACAATACAAGTCAATGAGTTGGCGGACTCGTGCAATGATGACTCAACCAAACCCTCTTACCTATACTAATGCTATCATTTTTGTATGATCTCCAGCTAAATTCACCTGTACAAAGGATCGGATCTGGCAGGATGAGAAGGAGGGAGTCCATATTCCCATTTGTGTACCAGGTAAGTTGTGTTTGGGGATTATTAGAGTTCAAATGCACTCCTGCACCCACTGACAGTTCACACCATCGTGTCTTCAAATGAAGATTAAAGACATCCACCCATCAAGGCATTGTGATATTTGCATATCTCCTCCCAAAAGCTGGCGCCCTGCTTGCATCAGGGCTGAGGGCAGGGTGCTGTGATGTTTTTAGGAAGCTGTGTACAGCCCCATGCTGGCCCCTCCCACCAGCCACTGTTCTGTGTGCATTACAGACTAAGGTCTTGCAATGGTTGTAAAGTGTATGGCCACCTTTATTGTGAGCTCCTTTGCCCACAGTATGTGGAAAGCTAATGAATCCCATCACAGAGCAAGGCCGCATGGCTCCAATGGGTCGGGTTAAACGTGGGTTGGGATTGCTCTAACAAATTACAGTTAAAACCTAAGATGATCTAGCAGATCTAAAGCCGATGAATACCATCACAGGGCACGGTCGCAATGATCTAGCATATACTCGAAATACTAGCAACAATTCTACAGCTATAAAATGTTCTGATCAGGTGACTAATTGTGAGCTTTTTTGTCCACAGTGTGTGGAAAGCCAGTGAATCCCGTCACCGGGCACGAACGCATTATCAGAGGTGAGAACGCAGAACTGGGGAACTTCCCTTGGCAAGTGTTACTGAACAATGGTGGGCGCGGTGGTGGCATTCTGATAGGAGAACGCTGGGTAATGACGGCTGCCCATATGATAAGACCTGAAGTTGAAGAAAATCCAGATGACGTCAGCAACCTGCAGGTGTACGCCGGAGACACAAATGTGGACAAGCTGATAAAAAAAAGTTACATAGCAGTTCAGGAAGTTCATGTGCATCCACAGTACGTTCCTGGCATCCATGACCACGACATTGCTCTGATTCACCTCAGAGAACCCATCACCATGGATGAGAATACCTCTCCCATCTGCCTCCCAGAAGATGGTGATGCGTCCTTGTATGACACTGGAACCGTGGGGTATGTTAGTGGATTTGGAATGACAGAGAGGAATGTAATTTCCAATCTTCTGAAGTACGTGGCTTTGCCCATGGTTGAGAGAAGCAAATGCCAGCAACAGCTAGAGGAGAAACAAAGGAACATGAAGCAAAACAGTAAATTAAGAGGAGCCAAATTCACAGAGAACATGTTCTGCGCTGGTTATCCAGAAGCTGATAAAAAGCAGAAAGACTCATGCCAAGGAGACAGCGGGGGGCCATTTGCCTCTGAAATTGAGAACAAGTGGGTGGCCACGGGTATCGTGTCTTGGGGTATTGGTTGTGGTACTGGCTTTGGCTATTACACCAAAGTCAGCAATTACATGAATTGGATAAAAGTCCATCTGAACAGTTAAAGTGTATGTAAAGTCAAAACTTATTTTAGATTAAGATAGAGTAGAAAAGGGTTAAAATCCTTATAATGTTATTTTTCTTTGCTGCCTGTGTATCATTGGTGAGATTTCTAAGGGAGTACGCGGCCGTACGCCACCCTACCCCAAGTGCAGGTCCGTACGGGTGTGGGTTTCCCGGCTCAGACGCAGACAGGATCCATCCTGTCAGCCTACGAGTACGGACACCCGCACGGACGTGCAGGGAGGGTGAGTGTAGGGCGGCGTACGGCCGCATACTCTCATAAAGAAGGACAGGGGCTGCGTACTAATCACACGCAGCACCTGTCCTTCCCGGGAGCTGCCCGATACGGCCCTGCACGCAGCACAGAGCTGTACGTGTCGGCTTTTCACCCCAAATCTTTATTTCATTTGGGGG